CAAATGTGGAAAACCTTCGAGTAACAAGATTATTCTGAAACCGTACACTAAAATTCAAAAACCACTCCTCAATGTTTAAAGTCGACCAGACTGGCAATAATTTATTATAAATAATTATTTGAAATACAACAACAACGTTTTGGCTGTCATTGCAGCCCTTTTCAAGTACATCAAATTTAAAACAGTAAATCAACTTCTATGCAAACTACCGACAATGTTAACGCTTGTTTTGATGAACAATGTAAGACTGACAGAAGTAAGCACATATTAAATAGATGTTAACTGTTCACAAGAATCTTAGTCACTAGGAGTGACTAAGATTCTCTGTGAACGTTAACATCTATTTAATATGTGCTTACTTCTGTCAGTCTTACATTGTTCATCAAAACAGCGTTAACATTGTCGGTAGTTTGCATAGAAAGTTGATTTACTGTTTTAAATTTGATGTACTTGAAAAGGGCTGCAATGACAGCCGAAACGTTGTTGTTGTATTTCAAATAATTATTTATAATAAATTATTGCCAGTCTGGTCGACTTTAAACATTGAGGAGTGGTTTTATTAATTATTACTGGCAACCTTAAGGATTATTATTTACTAAAATTCAAATTATGAATATGCGGTGGAAGCACGTCGAACCTTCTACACCGAAGCAAGAAGATGAGTTGTTGTTTAGTTGTAGAAATCTTCAAATTCAATCCATCCACTGTTTCAAAGCTGAGTCTGTTGCTTTTCATAATGTAACGTGATCAAATGAAAAAACTTCCTTCCCGGTGAGATGCCATGATTAATGTCAAAGGCGTATAATAACAATAAAATATTAAATTTCGTTCGCCAGGAATGAAATACTAAGGTAGTAGATATTAAACTGACTACACTGGCTGTCTATTAGATTTGTTAAAATATATTATTGACGTTTCGACCATACGGGCTGTGGTCCTTTTCAAAATTACAATAGAAGCATTCTAGAAATTAATGTACATGCAATCGGATCAACATTTAAATTGAAAACCTGAAATGTAACAAATGAGACTTACAATGAGTTACTGCATATCGTTATTGACATTTAAAAGTACGCTCCGGTGAGACTTAACTTAAGATCGGATGGTAAATTCACTGCGTTTCACTTGTGTCATTTTGCCACGACTGAGCACACTGTACTAACGAATAAACACGCCGAAAATTATGTCAAAGTTAAAAGTTAACAATATTATTCTCGCTAAATGTGATGTACCATATGGCAAATTACTAAAATAGAATAAAAAAAAAAATGGAATATAAAAAATATAAAATAATAAAAAAGATAATAAATAAATAAATAGATAAATTCGGTTCGCTTATGTCATCCTGCCTTACATACCATAATAAAATACTAATAATAGCTCCCAACCATGTATGTTAAAAATTTTTGTTACTTCAATTTCTAAACAAACTGTCATATATCGTACTAAAGCTTTCAGTGTCTTTCTGTAAATTGATAGTGGAATTCAATTTCTTGATAAAGTACATTTCGGCTATTTCTCTTTTCTTCTATGTTTTCTTTATGCAGAATAAAAGGATTCGACCAATCAAAATCATGTCCTTGATTAATTCTGTGCTCACTAACAACAGAAAAAATTGCTCGCTGGATTTTTAATATTACGTCGGTGTTCGTTAATCCTAGTACTAAGATGTCTTTTGTCTGCCCTACATAATTAGAATCACAATTGTTACAATTAATACAATAGACTACGCCGGTTTGCTTATTAATATCTAAATTATCTTTCCCGATTTTATTAAACAGTTCAGTTTTTTGGGGATGGTAAAAATTACGTTAAGGTTCTTTTTGTTTAGAAATCTATATATGTCATTAGTGAAACCGATTACAATATGGAATGACGATGAAATTTTCCCTCGAAACATCCGTCGAATCTACATTTGTAATTTTTATCCTCATGTTTATAGGTTGTGACAGCTTGTGGGTTCTATCATTGACATATTTATTAATGAGATTTTCCGGGAAGCAATTATTTTTCAAAATATTCTTTACAATTTTTAAATTAGAGTCATGAAACCGTTGTTAGATAAATTTATTGCATGGTCAACTAAATTGGTAATGGTGTTAATTTTATATTTCGTCGGATGATTCGAGAAAAAATTGATGTATCTTCCTGAGAATGTTGGTTTTCTGTACCAGTTAGTTATGAGCTTATTATCATCCCTGTGGACAATTGTATTCAAAAAGCTGAGTGAATTATTAGTTTCAATCTCATAAGTAAAAGTTAGTCTTGGGTGATAGCTATTAAACACCTCGCTCACCTCTAACAGTTTATCGTTAGGAAGGATCATGAATATGTCATCTACATATCTATAAAAACAAATCAATAAAATAATAAAACCATAGAGTCAACCGATATAATGGTGTCGTTGGATGTCTCTTCACTCTACACTAATATTCCGAAGGAACTAGTCATAAAAGGTATAGAAAAGAGATGGAATGAGATATCGGGACATACTAATTTTAGTTTTCAACAGTTCAGGCATGCGATTGATGCAATATTGTGTTCAACTAGTTTCATGTTTAATGGGATAGCTTACGAACAAATTTATGGGAGTCCAATGGGCTCACCTCTCTCCCCCATACTCGCAAATATCGTGATGGGGATCTTGAAACAGATTGCTTGTCCTTGCTTGGTTTCGAAACATCTTGTTTTTATAGATATGTAGATGACATATTCATGATCCTTCCTAGCGATAAACTGTTAGAGGTGAGCGAGGTGTTTAATAGCTATCACCCAAGACTAACTTTTACTTATGAGATTGAAACTAATAATTCACTCAGCTTTTTGAATACAATTGTCCACAGGGATGATAATAAGCTCATAACTAACTGGTACAGAAAACCAACATTCTCAGGAAGATACATCAATTTTTTCTCTAATCATCCGACGAAATATAAAATTAACACCATTACCAATTTAGTTGACCATGCAATAAATTTATCTAATAAACGGTTTCATGACTCTAATTTAAAAATTGTAAAGAATATTTTGAAAAATAATTGCTTCCCGGAAAATCTCATTAATAAATATGTCAATGATAGAACCCACAAGCTGTCACAACCTATAAACAATGAGGATAAAAAAATTATAAAAGTAGATTCGACGGATGTTTCGAGGGAAAATTTCATCGTCATTCCATATTGTAATCGGTTCACTAATGACATATATAGATTTCTAAACAAAAGAACCTGAACGTAATTTTTACCATCCCCAAAAACTGAACTGTTTAATAAAATCGGGGAAAGATAATTTAGATATTAATAAGCAAACCGGCGTAGTCTATTGTATTAATTGTAACAATTGTGATTCTAATTATGTAGGGCAGACAAAAAGACATCTTAGTACTAGGATTAACGAACACCGACGTAATATTAAAAATCCAGCGAGCAATTTTCTGTTGTTAGTGAGCACAGAATTAATCAAGGACATGAATTTGATTGGTCGAATCCTTTAATTCTGCATAAAGAAAACAATAGAAGAAAAAGAGAAATAGCCGAAATGTACTTTATCAAGAAATTGAATTCCACTATCAATTTACAGAAAGACACTGAAAGCTTTAGTACGATATATGACAGTTTGTTTAGAAATTGAAGTAAAAAATTTTTAACATACATTGTTGGGAGCTATTATTAGTAGTTTAATATTGGTATGTTAAGGCAGGATGACATAAGCGAACCGAATATATCTATTTATTTATTTATTTATCTTTTTATTATCTTATACTTTTATATTTTATTTTTTATATTTTTTATATTTTATTTTAGTAATTTGCCATATGGTACATCACAATTAGCGAGAATGTAAATATTGTTAACTTTTAACTTTGACATAATTTTCGGCGTGTTTATTCGTTAGTACAGTGTGTTCAGTCGTGGCAAGATGACACAAGTGAAACGCAGTTAATTTACCATCCGATCTTAAGTTAAGTCTCACCGGAGCGTACTTTTAAATGTCAATAACGATATGCAGTAACTCATTGTAAGTCTCATTTGTTACATTTCACGTTTTCAATTTAAATGTTGATTCTGATTGCATGTACATTAATTTCTAGAATGCTTCTATTGTAATTTTGAAAAGGACCACAGCCCGTATGGTCGAAACGTCAATAAATATAGTTTAACAAATCTAATAGACAGCCAGTGTAGTCAGTTTAATATCTACTACCTTAGTATTTCATTCCTGGCGAACGAAATTTAAAATTTAATATTTTATTGAAATTATATTCAGTGCAATAGTATCCAGACCTGCAGACATAGTTCTCTCAGACGCAACATTGATCTTCAAGCCGGACAAAGATAGCGGCAACCATTCGGTGCTGATTATATTAGAGACACCAAGATGTGGAATCTACAAGAGGAGTGGACATGGGTCATCGAGATCAAGCATTTGATTATCGCAGCTAAGGAGAGTGCGGGTAATTTCATTTATATTCAGAAACGCACGGCTCTCTACTTTCTCGCGCTCAAGCGAGCTATTGCCGTCCTTCTCCAACGGACTACGCACGGTTCTCTCTCTCGCGCTCAAGCGAGTTATTGCCGTCCTTCTCCAACGGACTACGCACGGTTCTCTCTCTCGCGCTCAAGCGAGTTATTGCCGTCCTTCTCCAACGGACTACGCACGGTTCTCTCTCTTTCGCATTCAAGCGATCTACAGCCGTTCTTCGCCAACGGAATACGCACGATTCTCGTTCACCCAGGAACGCTACGGGCATCTTTTCAACGGATTCTGCAGTTCCTTTAGCATCCAGACGAACAATATTTTCAATGCATACACGAATGAAGGATTAGCCATTCAAGGACGATAGGAGTAATACAACGTGGGGATGCTCATCGAGAATCGAAGACTGCGTTTGTTTATAAGATAAGTAACATATTGTGATCGATAATTATCGACGTAAGTTGACAATAACGTTCAAATCAATTATTAATAAGTTTAGGCATATTAATTATTATTGAGTCAATATGGAAGAACTAGCATTATTAGTGAGACAGCGCGGTAGAGTTCGAGCGAGACTCACGGCTTTTAAAACTTTTTTGGCAAAGCTTAACGACAATCCGGAAAAGATAGTCGAAATACGTAGTCGAATAGAAAAGGCTGAACAATTATGGATAGAATTCGATACAATTCAAAATAAAATTGAAGATATTGATGATTCTGATATACAAGAATCAGAAAGAATAACGTTTGAAGATTTATATCATGAATTATTGTCTAAAGCTCGCACAATATCGATGATTGAAGGCTCAACTTCTTCGGCTACTAATTTTAATATACAGCCTATCGCGCAAAACGATCCATTGATTGTTCGTCCAATGGTAAAATTGCCTAATATTGATTTACCAAAATTTGATGAAAATTATGAGAGGTGGATACCTTTCAGGGATTTGTTCGAGTCACTTATCGCGTCGAATGTTGTATTACTCAATGTGCAAAAATTACATTATTTAAGATCTGCATTGACAGGCGAAGCCGCCAAAGTGATAGACTCATTAGAAATTAGTAATGATAATTACGCGGTAGCATGGAATTTATTAAAGCAAAGATTTGAAAATAAGAGATTAATAGTACAATATCTTATTCAAAAGTTACTTGACATTCCAGCTATCACTAAAGAGTCACATGCAGATCTTAGACAATTGGTGGATAATATTTCACAATATACACAGTCGTCAATAAACTCGGCCAACCTGTAGAGAGTTGGAGCACGATAATTATCCATATCATTTTACCGAAAATTGACAAAGGATCTCGACGTGAATGGGAAGCCAAGCGATCTGTTATAGAAGCGTTTCCTACGTTAACTGAATTTATAGATTATCTTGTTAATCGCAGTGGTTTTTTAGAAGCGGTGAATCGGGCGAATCAAAATTTGCAAGGCGTAAGTAATCACGTGCGGAGGGATAATAAAGCTCATCCAAGCCATACTAAGAATGTAACTCAAGCATATGTAACGTCAAGCGATTCATCGTGCGTACTGTGTTCAGGTAATCATCGGTTACGTGAATGTCAAGCATTTCTTAAAATGCCAGTTAGGGATAGGATATCCGAAACAAAAAAAGAAACGTTTGTGCATAAAGTGTCTTAGAGAATTTTATGGTCGAAGTTGCAAGGCATCTAATTGTAAAACATGTAAAGGTTATCATAATACACTTTTACACATAACTGATTCACCAGATGAAAGATCATCCGAAAGGGTTGAATCGAATAACACAGACACAGTAAATACTGTTCTCAATCATTGTAGCGTTAGAGATGTTACTCATGTGTTTCTTGCTACTGCTATTATTTACATACGCGATTCTCACGGCAACCCACACGAATGTCGCGCTCTTCTTGATAGCGGATCGCAATCTAATTTCATAACAAAAAATTTTTGTGAACGCTTGCATTTAACACACAAAACTATTGATCTTAAAATTAAAGGTATTAGTAACACTCCGATTAGCGCTATTCAGACGATTCAAGCGACCATCGAATCACGAGTGAATTCAGCAAAATTTACAATTCCATTTATAATAATTAATCAAATAACGGAATATTTGCCAACAATTAAAATAAGTCAAATCAAATTCGACATACCGCCAGAAATAAAACTAGCGGATCCAACTTTTTGTACACCTGGGAAAATAGACGCATTATTAGGCGCTTCCATTTTTTGGGAATTAATGTGCATGAGACAAATACGATCTGCAGAAAATACTCCTATTTTTCAGGAAACATTATTAGGATGGATAATATTTGGCGCGATTCCCATCGATGACAAAAAACAACGCAATAATGAAGTATATTGTGGATTGTCTACTTGCGCTTTACAGCAACAATTAGAAAAATTTTGGACGATCGAGGAAGTTAAAGTCCCGCCACATTGTTCGTCTAAAGAAAAACAGTGCGAAGAGCATTTTATTTCTACTCATCGTAGAGATATAGATGGTCGTTTTATAGTACAACTACCGCTAAAGGATACAGCAGAAAATTTAGGAGAATCATATATTATTGCGGAAAAACGTTTTAAAGCATTAGAGAGAAAGCTGGAAAGGCAATCTGAATTAAAGGCTCAGTATCATGAATTCATGGCGGAATATTTAAAGCTGCACCACATAAGTGAAGTTCAGATCGAAGAAAAACATAATAAGCCAGCTTACTATATTCCGCATCATGCTGTAACAAAAGAGGATAGTACAACGACAAAACTAAGAGTCGTCTTCGACGCGTCATGTAAAACATCATCTGGAAAATCCTTGAATGATATACTCATGCTAGGGCCAATTCTTCAAAATAGTTTATTTGATATTATAATTCGTCTAAGACAACATAAATATGCCATGGCAGCCGACATTGCCAAAATGTATCGCCAGATTGCAGTAGATCATAAAGATCGCAAATTCCAACGTATTTTATGGAGATGGGACAAGAAAGATCCTGTACAAACATTTGAACTCAATACAGTTACTTATGGTATGACGAGTTCACCATTTTTGGCAATTCGATGTTTACAGGAAGTCGCACAACAGATGATATCTGAATATCAAAATGCTGGTGAAACAATAATAAGAGATTTCTATGTGGACGACCTATTAACGGGAGCGGATACAATAGGGGAACTTATACAACTGAAACAAGAAATTATACATATTTTAAGTTTTGGAAATTTGAATTGAGAAAATGGATCTCCAATCTTGCACAAATCTGTGATCAATTTGACAATGAAAAAAGACAAATTACATCGAACGAATCGACGAAAATTCTCGGCTTGTTATGGAATACTAACAAGGACATGTCACAACTGTCCGGAACCGATTTGATTCTCCTTGAAATATGTTGTTAAATACACAAATCTAAAAGACACGTATTTTTTTATACGTGCGCAATTTGAGTTTTAAGGGGTGAAACACCCCTTTAAAGAATAACGGTATTTTTCTTTAGGATCAAATATCTGCTAAACTATAAGAGATATAAAGAAAAAACGTACAACAAATTTTAATGGCTTGAAGAGTACTTTAAAGTTATATGAACAAAAATTTTTTTTTTTTTTTTTTTTTTAAAAAACCCTCACCACCTAATTTTTTTTTTCAAAATTAAAAATTTTGTTTTACCTAATTTAAAGCTTATTTTTTTCCAAATTCAACCATGTGTAATAAAGTTATGTTACGAAATATCATTTTCGAAAATTAATTATAAACGCTCCCGTATATACGCTCATCCGTGCTATGTGCGTAAGTAATTACCGTCGAACAATAAAATATATAAAAAATGTTTTTGTATAATTCTTATTTATGTTTTCTATGTATTTATAACTGCGTATTGTGTATATTTAGATTTAAAAAAAAATTTTTAAATATAATTAATAAGAATTTTTTAAATATACCCCCTGCTTTCTTATTATTTCTTTAATATTTAATTTCTTCTATAAAAATTAAAAACAATTATATTTTATAATAAAATTATTTTTTAATTGAATCTTGCGAATACCAATGTCGCAATATTTGGCATAAACAAATTTTATATCTTACGTTAAATGAATCATAAGATAAGATTATGTGTACGTGTTCCAGATAAGTTATAATTTTTACAATAAAATCTTTAATACGTTAAAATAAATAATAAAATAAGATTATGTGATGACGTATTTCTGATAAGTTAATATAAATTGTTCATGTAGCAGCATAATTCTCACAGTCGGTGTAGTCTTTTCGTTGTAATAATATCTGTGTAAACTGTTCTTTTATTGCAATAGAAAGCAAAATATAACATCTTTGAATATGATTATCAATCCGCTTAACGTTGTTAGACTTTTATTGGTGTCAATAAATTCAATATATTTAACAGAAACGCCAGTAACTGAAGCAGAAGTGGAATTAAAGGAAAACATTAAAAAAATATTACTGGATAGCGTTTTTCATTATAATGGGGTGGAAGTAACGGAAGAAATATATCTCGATTATGAAGAACCTTATAAATTACATAGTTTTGAAATAATTGAAGATGACGAAGAAGCATGGCATGAAGATAGTTTAAATTCTCATCCTCATTGTTCAAATGATGATACAAATTTTGATAGTTCTTATAAAAGACGAGCTGTTGAGTATTGGCGATTTCGGGACACTGATGAAAACAGTAATGACAGAAAAAGGAATCGTCCTCTAAGAGTAGTACAAAATAAATTTAGAAGAGTTTCATCTGAACGTCAGTTAAGGCGATGGGAAGAACAAATACAATCAGGTGGAAGTCGTACAGAAAAATTATCTTACATCTCCAAATTTACACATGATAAATTTACTGCAGCTGTCGAATCAGGATTCATGGTTCATGATATTGATTTAAAAAGATGGGCTTTACAAGCTCAAGAAGAAATAGGAAATTTAAATCCTATATTTAAAGCATCTCACAGTTGGATAGCAAGATTTAAGAAGTCTCACCGAATTGTTTCAAGAAAAGTTACGAAGTTTGTCACTAGAAGAACATTAGAAGATTCTGCTGATTTGCAAAAATCAGCTGATGATTTTCTGGAAACAGTAAAACCTCTTATTGAACAGTTTGGATCTGAAAATATTTACAATTCAGATCAAAGTGGTTTCCAATTGGAACTTCACTCTGGAAGATCATTGTCTAACCAGGGAGAAAAGAAAGTAGAACGTGTCGTGCAATCCATATCATCAACAACCCATTCATATACGATACAACCAATAATATCCTGTAATGGCAATTTGTTGTCCCCTTTATTTATTGTATTAAAAGAAGCTAATGGTAAATTTGGACCAAGAGTACAAGAAAATTTATTTAAAGCAGAAAATGTTATTGTAAAAGCATCGAAATCTGGTAAAATGACATCAGGTATTTTCCTTTTATAATTACTTTTTTTAACAACCTTATTTTATTTAACAATTTAATAAGAGTCATAAAAAAACTATTAAATTAACATTTATATTTTGTACAGATCATTTTAAAATGTGGTTAGAAGAAGCTTATTTCGCAAACATTGGTCCTAATAGCGTTCTTCTTATCGATTCATGGACTGGACATTGCCCCAATATGATTTCGGATTTAACACCTCCTGGAACACATATTACTACTATGATAATACCGAAAGGAACTACAGGGAAAATACAACCATTAGATGTTTATGGATTCAGAATTTGGAAAAATTTTGCTAAAAGATTTTCAGATGCGGTTTTACTGTTGGAAAGTAATATAAACTTACATGAACGAAATAATATAATAAAATTGCAATCTTTGATACATAATCAATTGTCATCCCCACGATATCAAAACTTATTTAAATATTCGTGGTTTAAAAGTGGTTATACGAATGAAAGACCAGACGAATTCGAAAATCCAGTACACTTTAGTTTAGACGAAACTTTAACAAAATGTGATATCGAAGGTTGCAATAATATAGCTGTAGTAAGATGTTCTTGGTGCAAGAAGTCATTATGTTTGAAACATTTTTTTGTCGAATATCATTATTGTAATGTGTATAATGAGTGAATAATATAAAATGCAAATACATTTTTAAAAAAATCTAAATATACACAATACACAGTTATAAATACATAGAAAACATAAATAAGAATTATACAAAAACATTTTTTATATATTTTATTGTTCGACGGTAATTACTTACGCACATAGCACGGATGAGCGTATATACGGGAGCGTTTATAATTAATTTTCGAAAATGATATTTCGTAACATAACTTTATTACACATGGTTGAATTTGGAAAAAAATAAGCTTTAAATTAGGTAAAACAAAATTTTTAATTTTGAAAAAAAAAATTAGGTGGTGAGGGTTTTTTAAAAAAAAAAAAAAAAAAAAAAATTTTTGTTCATATAACTTTAAAGTACTCTTCAAGCCATTAAAATTTGTTGTACGTTTTTTCTTTATATCTCTTATAGTTTAGCAGATATTTGATCCTAAAGAAAAATACCGTTATTCTTTAAAGGGGTGTTTCACCCCTTAAAACTCAAATTGCGCACGTATAAAAAAATACGTGTCTTTTAGATTTGTGTATTTAACAACATATTTCAAGGAGAATCAAATCGGTTCCGGACAGTTGTGACATGTCCCTTGTAAGACTGATGCCTTTCAATATCGAATAAATTAAATATTAGTGAGAATAAAACAACTAAACGTATTATATTAGCTAATATTGCACAGATATATGATCCGCTCGGATTATTAGGCCCCATAATAGTACAAGGTAAAATACTGATGCAATACCTGTGGCAATCAAAATGTAAATGGGATGAAGGAGTTACTACGGAAATTAAAGATATGTGGCTTCAATGGAAGTCACAGATTGGTAGTGTAGAACAGCTTACAATTCCGAGAAGAATGCTTTGTGATAATCCTGAAGAAATAGAAGTACATGGGTTTTGTGATGCATCGGAAAAAGCATATGGAGCATGCTTATATTTTCGTACTACTAATTCGAGAGAAAATTATACTGTTAGATTAGTATGTGCTAAGTCACGTATAGCACCTATTAAAAGAGTGTCATTGCCAAGACTGGAATTATGCAGCGCAGTTTTATTGGCCAATTTAGTTAGAAATGTATTACAATCCTTGACAATACAAATACATAAAGTATATTATTGGACTGATTCCACTATAGTCCTTGCATGGATAGCACGAGAGCCTACACATTGGAAAACATTTGTAGCCAATAGAGTGGCCGAGATACAGCGTGAAACGAAGAACGCACAATGGTATCATGTTCGGTCGGAAGATAATCCTGCGGATCTATTGTCGAGAGAAGTCAGTCCAGCAAAATTAAAAGAGAAAAGAATATGGTGGGAAGGACCACAATTCTTACAGCATAATTCAGTATTTGTGCCATTTAGTGCAGAAAACATTTACGAAGACATAACAGAAAAACGCACAACTAACTTACTTGTTCTTAAAGAAGCGAATGAATATATGGCTATCATCGAACGATTTTCGTCATTATCACGACTGAAGAGAGTTACTGCGTATTGTCTACGTCTTGCGAAAAGGAGTGTTCAAAATACATCTCAACAATCAAAATTATTAACCGTATTGAAGTTAGAACATGCCATGAAAACACTCATCAAAGGCTGTCAAGCTCATAGTTTTGCAGAAGAACTACATAATTTAAGCAATAAAAAGCGGCTGCAATCTAAGAGCAAATTGTTAACATTAAATCCGTTTTTAGACGAAGAGGGCATCATTCGTGTGGGGGGAAGGTTGTGTAATGCGACTATAGAATATTCTCAAAAACATCCCATTATTTTGCCTAGTAAACATCACCTCACTACATTAATAATTAGAGATGCACATTATAAGAATTTACACGCTGGATCACAAGCGATATTAATGATGGTGCGTAATAATTATTGGCCTATTTCAGGTAGAGAAGCGGTACGTCGCGTGTTAAGGTCTTGCATAGTATGTTTTAGAGCAAAACCAACAGTCGCACATCAATTAATGGGCAATTTACCCGCTGTGAGAGTGACTCAACAAATACGTGCATTTTTACACACAGGATTAGATTATGCAGGCCCATTTACAATTAAAATATCGCGCAATAAAACGAGCAAAGCATATTTAGCCATTTTCATTTGTCTTGTTACAAAGGCGGTACATTTTGAACTAGTTTCGGATTTAACTACAACAGCATTTCTTAACGCATTGAAAAGATTTATTGCTCGTAGAGGTAAATGTATAGCTTTATACTCGGATAATGGCACCACCTTTGTAGGCGCTAATAATCAACTTACGGAACTAAAAAATTATCTAATAAAAGAAACGACTCAAAATCAAATTCATGAGTATTTAGCGGAACATTTCATTGATTGGAAATTTATTCCTCCATATTCACCTCATATAGGCGGGCTGTGGGAAGCAGCTGTGAAATCAGCCAAGACTCACATGCGTAAAATTATTGGAACCGTAACATTAACTTTTGAAGAGTTATATACAGTATTTACTTTGATAGAGGCCTGTTTAAATTCAAGACCACTCACTCAATTATCAAATGATCCGACAGATCTACAGCCTTTGACACCTGGTCATTTTTTGATAGGAGAAGCTATAAACACAATTCCGGAACATGATCTTAGTGACGTTTCGACGAATCGCTTGACGCGTTATCAATTAATTATACAGTTGAGACAACATTTTTGGACCAGATGGTCAAAGGAGTACATTGTGCAATTGCAACAACGAATTAAATGGAAACAAGAAGGTATCATAAATTTAAGTAAAGGAATGATGGTATTATTAAAAAATGAAAACACATGTCCGATGACATGGCCGTTGGGACGAATTGTAGAAATACATCCCGGAACAGATGGAATTACAAGAATAGTCACGGTTTGAACTAGTCGTGGGCTATGCAAGCGTGCAATAACTAAACTGTGCGTGTTGCCCATCGAAGACAATGTACAAATATAACCCTAACTTTCAAACAAACATTAATATTTTCGTAGATATTAAGTTCTTGTGATGCATAATGCGGCTGTTCTAGTAGATATTAAGTTTGTAAGACTGCGTTATTATAGTATTAACAGTATGGCACAGCTGTGTTGTGTTTTTTATTTTATTTTTCTTAAAATTTTATTTTCACAAGTCATATAGTGGCTTGTAGTTGATACATCAGTTTTTTTTTTTATGTTGTAAGCCTATGCCTTTCAAGGGGGGCAAAATGTTGGCGCCGTTTTGGAATACACCGGCGCTTTAGCGGCGCCATCTGGGCGCATCGAGTAGTAGTAATAGTAGAAGGAGGTTCATTATTATATATGGCGGCGACAGCAAGGAAGCCATACGTTTTCTCTGTATTAATTTCTCCCAATAAATTATATTCAGTGCAATAGTATCCAGACAGACGTAGTTCTCTCGACCTGCATACCACATCACAAGCCACACCACAGATCATCGGCGCAACATGCAATGAATTTCACGCGTACAACGAATTGTTGGCTTGTTACGGCGCCCCTCGGAGAGGCCAAAAAGGCAAAAAAATTGCGAAAAAAACCGCAAATACACGGATTTTCAACGCAGGTCCCATGCTTCGTAAGTACAATTATATCAGTATTATTATTTCTCAATCCGAGCTCACAGACTCGGTACGCGATGTCTCTTTGAATACACGGGTCCCAGTCGGGTCCACGCTTACCGGAACGTCGAAGTGGTGGCCTTACAATTCTCGTGACGTCGTTCGATGCTCCGCGTGTGCTGGGATCGCCGTCTAGCTGAACAGTGGGCGGCGTTGAGCCAGCGTTACGTCGGTAGTTTCGCGCGGTAGCGCCGTGGTCGCCACTCCGGGTCAACCATCGATCTGGATATCGATATTTTCCTTATCGCGGTTTGCGGGCTCCTGAACTTTGCAGGATTCCGAACTTGCCCTCGGGAACTTGTTTGCCGCAGAAAGTCTTTTAGGCAGCCCCGTTTCTATTCTGGATGATCCGTGTTGTATTTTCCGGTGGACCAGTACGTTGCGGGAACCGTCTCTGAATGATCAAGCCCGAGCAATCCCGTTGTCCTTTCGGGATGCTGTCGCGGGCCCCTCGGGAATAGTCATCTCTGTCTTGAGATGCAGGCGCCTGTTTTCTCCCTTCAATATCGCAGACAGTCGGCTCTCCGATGCTGTAAGGAATTTCAGAGCAGTAACGGCCCTTATGTGACTTGGTACGATAAATTCTATTAATTCAATGACTTACATGGCCCCGCGCGTCTCGGCCATGCCGCTCCATCCTCTTCTTTTGCTCCTCTCCGTGCCTTTTTTTCCTACAACATTCCTTCTCGGGACTCAACTCGATTTCCGTTAACAAATCAAAAATGGCGAGTCGACGACAGAGTCGCCGCTCGCCCGCAAAAACCAAAATCGGAGCGCTATCCGAACCCTCTCGGCCGGGCGCATCCGCCTTTGTGACGAGTGCAAAATGCCACGTCACAATATATATATGGTAATTGTATAAGCTTATATATTTATACAAATTTGGAGTGAAAAGTGGTCCAGTAAGTAAAGTCATAAGACGATAAGCCTAAGGTCCCAGGTTCGAATCCAGTTCGAACCAAACATTTCACATGTCTGTCGGGAAAAGGTAAAGAAGGAGGATATGGAGAGATGAGGAAGAAGGGAGGCAGGTTCAGATGGAAGGAGAAGAAGAAGGAGGGAGAGGAAAGAGAAGGAACGGAAGGAGAAAATGATAGAGAGGTGGAAGGAAGAAGAGAGGGGGAAAAAGACAAGGATTTGGAAATGGAAAAGGAAGAAGGAGGAGGAAATTGTAATGTGTGAGTTGATTAAGTTGATTAAGATTGTAGAGGTTTGGGAACGCCCTTATCAGAAAAAAGCGCCGTATTGTATTGTATTGTAACGAGTTGGATAAGAGAAGTTGTAAAGATTCGAGAACGCTCCTATAAAAAAAGAGCACCATAATGTATTGTATTGTAATGAGTTAGATAAGAGATTGTAAAGGTTCGGGAATGCTCCGATTAGAAAAAAGCGACTTGTAAATCCCTAGGGAACACAATAAAAAATGTTATGTTATAATTATACAATATAAAATAAAAGCTCTATTCGATAAAATCAAATTACAAAAAGAGGGCAAATGTCGTAGCAAGAAAGTCGTGCTATAAAAATACGAGGGTGACTATTTATATTTCGGGAACTGGCAACACTGATGTCATGTGAGTCCATCTGACGGTTCCATCGTGAAGCTTGACATTTATTTATTTTATATTTAGTTGAAAGTTTTGTTTCGGCAAAAGATGGAACTGAATCGTGAACATTTTTGTGCGATGATTTTTTTACGACTTTTGACGTGGATTATTACAACAAGAGTGCATCAATCAACTTAATTTGACTTTTGGCGATGAAGCTCTATCAAAAACCACTGTGTATCGTTGGTATAGTAAATTCAATCGTGGTCGTAGTTCGCTGTCCGACAAATTTTGTGAAGGTCGTCCAAAATCGGTTATCTGTAGTGCCAACATCGATGCTGTGTAGGAAATGATTAAGCAAGATCGTCATGTAACCTATTGTGAGATTGAGGCATCCCTAAGCATTAGTTCCACCAGCATATATGCGATTTTACATGAACACTTATCTGTGCGAAAGTTATGTTCGCGTTGGATCCCACATAATTTGATAATCGCTCAAAAAAGGCTCGTGTCGATTGGTGCAAAGAAATGCTTAAGAAATACAATCGCGGTGCTTCAAAAGACGTTTATAAAATCGTGACAGGTGACGAATCATGGATATATTCGTATGAGCCCGAAAGTAAGAAGCAGTCGACTATATGGGTGTTCCAAGATGAACCAAATCCAACAAAAGTTGTTCGCGCACAAAGCACTTCAAAGAAAATGGTGGCCTGTTTCTTCGGAAAAACTGGTCATATTGCAACAGTGCCTCTAGAGGATCGTAGAACAGTAAATTCTGAGTGGTACACAACTATCTGTTTGCCAGAAATCTTCGGGGAAATAAGGAAAACAAACAAGAGACGTCGGATTGTTCTTCATCATGACAATACGAGCTCTCACACATTGGTTCAAACAAGAGACTATTTGAGCACTCAAAACATCGAATTGATGGGTCATTCGCCGTACAGCCCTGATTTGGCACCCAATGATTTCTTTTGGCTCAATCTGTGAAGAATAAACGTGTTCAACGATTTTATTGCCCGAAAAAGCTATTGAAGCGTTCAATTGTTTTGGATCACGTCAATGAGGGATGCATACTGTATCTATCATATGGATATATGTGAATGATAGAAATATGTACCAGAATTGTTTGCTATAAATTGGTACCTGTGGAAAAATTCAGAAATATGTTAAAGAAATTTAAAAAAATCTTAAGAAAGAGATAAAAAATAGTTTAAAATTTCACATATTGATATTATAATTACAAAATAGCATTAAAAAATTTTTGTTTTATTAATTAATAACTCTTGAAATCGATTATATGTGTTGAATACTAAGTGTAAGGAATAACCAACTTTAAGATGACGGTAGTTTAAGCTGCAAACAATTAATGGAACATAGGCGCATGCGTTCTGCGATATCCAGGTGATTGGTTTTAAAAACAGAGAATGTATAAAAAACGCGAGTCGGTCAGATGAGTAAATCTTGTTAAGATAAGGGAATAAAGATAGTTTAACGGGTTTGGTGTTGCATTACCTAATCCAGGTTACTACATTCATATTTGCCTTTTTTCAACGTTTTGTTGAACCTCCTTGAAAAGACCATTTAAACTCAGAAGTGGGAGGAGCTTTTCAGACTAAAAGTGGATGTTTCTTAAAAAATTTTTTTTTTGGCTTCATCTTTGTTTTGCGTTTCGGTCTTTGTTTTGCGTCGGTTGATCCTATTTTGCGTGTTAACGGGAAGTAATACATCCGGCGTCGGTGATTGTTTCTATCGTCGCATATGATTGTTTTGCCATTGACTTATAGGTTTTATGGCCGTTCTCAATTGAAACGTGACCGGTCCTTTGGCTTCGTCATCTTGTACACAGGAAAATTATATTTAAAGAAGAAGCGGCCATATTGGGATGCGCAGTGCTATTTCCGAGATCTCAGAGTGAGCGCAGAAGAAAGGAAGAAGAAAAAAGCCTGCGTGAGCGAGTGGGCGACACATCTAATTTGTCTACGGTATCAATCACGTTGAACTCATACGCAGTCTTTAACGCATTAAACTCGTTCGTGATGTCGTCCGTGTTGGACTCGTTTGTGATGTGCAAAGATAATTGCTTGGACCTTGCCTGCGACGTTAACTAAGTTAAACTTGTCTGGGGTGCAGCAATAACCGCGTTAGATTTGTTCGCGGCGTGTAGTGTTAACCACGCTAAATCCGTTCGTGACGTTATCCATATTGGATCTGTTGCAGTTACTATATAATATTAATAGACTTTCTATAAAGTATATAGCGCTGTAAAATAACGGACATTGTCTTGTGAGTCGTTCCCAATCTTGAAAATTTTGGGCGCGCGTTGCGATTGTCAGTCATTTTGGATTGTGGTGGTAGTGTGCGGGAGAACTTGTGTCGTGTTTCTCTTTTGGCACTGCGGTTATTGAAACATTATGTCAATTTCCGGTACATCGATCGAGCGCATAAGAGAGCAACTTAAAAAGTTATTGCTTTCCTTTCTAAGAAAAGAAGCGAAAAAATATGATATCTAGTTGTCTATAGAGGATTATCATCAATGGGTCGATGCAATAGTTGGATCACTTATTAAGGAATGAGCCTCTCAGACAGAATGCAACCTAAGTGGCAGGGTTCACTGACGAAGCCCATTCACCTGAAGCTGCAGCAGTAGTAGTAATTTACAAGATGATTCTGCTTTTGTTATTTTTCTTTTTGACTCAGGACTACAAACACTTTGTGGACAAAGCTCAATCACAATCAAACTCGCTAATAATGGAACAGCTTTTTATGCAAAGAGAGCAAATGGCTCAGCAGCAGAGAATATTACTGCAGATGTCATACCAACAGATATTAATTCAACAATTCTTCACTGCCATGCACATTAATCAAGGAATCCCACAAAACCAGTCATATCTCAGCAATAATATGGGATTATCTTTTAATCAAGATCCAGAGCCTCAGTCAATTAATAGAATTCCAGATATCTCTTCAGCGACTACAGGTCAAGCTGTGAAATTCTTATCATCGCAGATCTTCACTTTTAGAGATGAGACAGATGATGAAGACATTGAAAATTGTATAGAGAAAATAAAAAATGTTGCGGAAGTTCACAACCTGTCTCCGGTAGTGATGTTGGCAACCTATCCACATCCAAATTAACTAAGATTGCACGGCGTTGGCTAGATTTAGCCACAGTAGAAGTCAATCGCTTCTGGTTTTCTTTCAAGTCAGCCATCATCAATCACTGCAAAAAGGAAGTCCTTTTCCATGTCGTTATGCAGAAGATTAAAGTACGCAGATGGAGTTGTGTCTCAGAAGCTTTCAGAGATTATATAATGGACAAATTGGCACTGTTGCAGTGTCTTAAGCTAGAAGATCAGAATAAAATCAAACTACTAATTAATGACATTAATAATCTCTCCGTCAAATGTGCTGCAGCTCCTCTGCGAGTGAGTTCATTTAACCAGTTTATAAGTGAAGTACATTTTATTGCTTAATCTTGGCAATGTGTTCAAAAAGTTAGTATACAAACTCTAAAGACAAAACCAAATACATAACTGTTAAAAGTGTCAAACTAACAATAAGTGCTTTATTTTCCAATACAAGAGAGTTTACAGTGCAGTGGCTCAAAAACTCAGGCATTACATTTATTGTCACGAGTAGTAATACTAGGGGAGTTCTAACCCAGGGGCAATGAGGGGGGGTGAGGGGCGGGGGGAATCGGGGGCGAGGGGGTGACGTCACGCGGGGGAGGGGGTCTTATCAGTAGATAAGCTTATCTTTTGTTTATAAACATATCAGATTACCTGATAAGGGGATCATGTTATCTGATATGTTTATAAACAAGATAAGATAAGGGGATCATGTTACCTGATATGTTTATAAACAAGATAAGATAAGGGGATCATGTTACCTGATATGTTCATAAACAAGATAAGATAAGATAAGCGGCGTCTTTGAGCGGTATCTAAGTTTTCGCAGAAAATCCAAGATAAGCGGCGTCTTTGAGCGGTATCTAAGTTTTCGCAGAAAATCTAAGATAAGCGGCGTCTTTGAGCGGTATCTAAATTTTCAGAAACAAGATAATATAAGCGGCGTCTTTGAGCGATATCTAAGTTTTCATAAACAAGATAAGATAAGATAAAAATTCTACGAATGGCTGCCGCCGTTTCTTAATCCAGGCTGAGCGCCGACAATTGGATATCTAAGTTTTCTCTGAAAATCCAAGATAAGATATCTATTACAGCGATATCTATTACAGCGATATCTAAATTTTCTCCAAAAATCCAAGATAAGATAAGATAATTCTGCGAATTATTAATTTAAAAAATGTTTCCTTTCTTCTTTCCTTAGATATCCTTATAGAAAAAATATGTATAAAGAATAATGTATAAAATTATGTAAAAACTAATGTAAAAAATATGAATAAAAAAGTAATGAATAAAATATTAACAATTTAAAAAAATGTTTCCCTCCTTCACATCTCTCTCTCGCCGCAGGCCCGAGCCGCCACATCCAGGCTTGGATCTCTCTCGCAGCATCTCTCGTTCACCGTCGCATCTCTCGCCGCAACATCTCTCTCTCGCCGCAGGCCCGAGCCGCCACATCCAGGCTTGGATCTCTCTCGCCGCTACCTCGAGCCGCCACATCCAGGCTTGGATCTCTCTCGCCGCAGGCCCGAGCCGCCAAATCTCTCACTCTTAAATGTGTGCGTCTTCTCTCTTACTATCACGCTGCATCAAATGCGTGCTGAATCCAGGCTTGGATCTCTCTCTCACTCACTCTCGAAGGCGTACGCCTCGTAAGATAAAATTATCGATTTTCTCTCGCTGTCGCTGCATGGATGGTCTTATCTCGTATGATAAAAATATCGATTTTTTTCTCGCTGAATGCAATGTCCTTGACACAATAATTATATCTCGCAAAGTATGTAACGGGTGGAGCGCAAATAAAGTACACCATGATATATACATATAAGTATTTATTCATCTTATATTTAATACATAATTATATATAGTTTTATTACATATTAAAAACTAAAGCCACCAGCTCGCAATCGACAAGTTGGTGCATGTTGAAGGCATTGCTAGCGCGTATCGCATTCGACAATTCTCTCGCATTCGTTACAGTGGATGCAATATTGGAGAATTGAGTATATTTGATATCAACCGTTGTGACGAGCCTCGTCAAACGATCGAACATTATTTCAATAAACTCAGAAATAAATATTTTTATCGGCTCTCAATATAAAGAATATAAGTATGCTGCCTTCTAAGCCGGGCAATAGAGCCAAGGAAACGAAACGAAAAATTAATTAAACGGAACTGTATCTCAATTTGAGATCCCAAAGTTCCACATATAAATTAATTTCGAAACTTCCTTCTTCAACTTCAAACTTTCCCGCTTCAGCGACTTTTCGGACCTATATTTTTCTCGCTTATTTCTCCATATGTAAGTTTCGAAATTAATTTATATGTGGAACTTTGGGATCTCAAATTGAGATACAGTTCCGTTTAATTAATTTTTCGTTTCGTTTCCTTGGCTCTATTGCCCGGCTTAGAAGGCAGCATACTTATATTCATTATTTCAATACATGAATCGAGCTCGAACATACGATGTAACGTCGATTCGACCTTCATCATGCGCACGTCCGCTGATTCGAGACTTATGAGCTTGGTGCCGTTTATCTTGTGAAATCGCACTGTTAGCGGCCCGACACTTATGCAATTATACACATCGTTGTTGGAGGAGGAGTCATTGTTCAGGTAATTGTGAATAGCGTGGCGTTGCTCGTAGAGTCCTTTCCACGTTTCAAGAGATAGTAATAGCTGTTTTCCCCGATGATCTCCTATGGCGATCTCCACATAACTCGGCGGATCCACTCTGATGCCGATTTCGAGGAATTTGAATTCCGTTGCCGTCAATGCGTATCGTCTTCCAAGTATGCGAACCGCACGAGGCTCCAGCGAAACGCCGTAAAAATTAGATAAAAAAGATAAAATAAAATTAAAAAATATAAAATATATAAAAGATACAAAAAAGTTATACTTACTCGTCGCATTTCTTCTCGCACGTTTCTTCATGTCTCGGCATGTAGTAATTCATGCTGCTGCTGCTTCTTTGAACCGAGGGTATTAAAAAGTGAACCGTCAGTTAGAACAGTCGACGAAAGACTGATTGTATAATAAGGTACTAATAATCGAGTAACGGTCATTTTTAAAATATTAGGAGAGGGGGATTCTTAGAAATATATCTGGAGGGAAAGACAAATTATTAAAAGTAGTGGGGGTAAAAGAAATTCTTAAAAATACGATTGCGTGAAAAATTTTTAAAAGTAGTGGGGGTAAAAGGAATTCTTAGAAATATCTGGTTAGGAAAAATAACAAAGAGAATAGTATGTAAATAATATGTTTATTCAAAAAACGGATGATCGTCGCGATTAGCCGACCACCAATTGAATAATTTAAATACATTTTGTAACGCGCAATTTTTTACATGTTTATTACATCGTAGAGTATATGTGGGATCTAATTTATTTAATGCAGGCACATCTTCATATATGGCATCCAAGGTCTCAATCATGAAACCGCTGCACACATCGTCCACTATTTCGGCAAGCCACTCTCGCTTTTCGAGTCCTTTTACATACACGAGAGAGGACTCTTCTTCTTCCTCCTCGTCTTGTTCATTTATGCCATTGATAGCTGCCGTGATCAAGCGCTGAGCCATGCAGTATGGAACATTTCCATCCTCCCATTGCAAGCTGTGATGATGCTGAGTTATCCATGAGGCCTGGCGCCTTTCCGACTTTATAAGCACGCTCCACGGCACAGGGCATGCGAAGAAATAGTGCGACATGATATATCCTCTTCTCAGGATTGCCGCTTCCTTCACGATAAATCGCTTGTTTAGGATAAATCCTTGCAGGTCGACAAACGTTGGTGCGGACATGATCTCTTCGATGTGAGTCAGTCGAGAGGTATTACTTCACTAACATCAGACATCTCGCATCATCATGATTATGTATCCTCCTCCTCCCCTCTCTCACGCGCGTAGTTGTGTAAACAATTTTAGGTGATTTTGCGCACAACGTTGGTCAACGGGTTGTACTGGATCACGCGATCGTGCATGATGAGACAATATGCTGTGGTATTATTAGGCACGTTTTCCTTACACTCAAATTCCAATCTCACATCCACCGTTGCGCTCTTGACCGATTCGTTTTGTCGAGAACAATCAATAATCACAAACGGACCGTAACGTAGAAATAACGAGACGGTGAGGCTCGGCTCGAGATACTCGTATCCGTAATAATTTTTGCAGAAACGCGCATACGTGTCATACAGAATCGACCATCTGTTTCTATCGAAATCCAGATTCATATCGTCGTACGGATAACATTCCGAGTTCAGATAGAGTTTCACGTTGGTTAATTTACAGTTGTCGAATCGACTCGTATCCTCGGACATGACGTTTTTCCGCCCTGTCTGCAGGACAAAAATTACATATCGCGGCTTCTCCAGTTGAGTCGCGGTCTTAATGGCCCACGAATGCTTGGTCGTACGCTGCAATAGCGGAAATTCGTATAGATCCCACGAGCGGAAACCCATGCTGAGGTAACGTCCGCTTTCCAGAGCGCGCAGCATCGACAGCTTCTTAATCTCGCTCAACAACACGTGTGGCATTCGCCATTGTATCTTGAATATGTTGATCGTAGGCTCCAGTGCAGAATTTCCATACAGACAATTATTGTCGTTGCGCGCTCGTATTAGGATCAACTCATGACGCGCATTAATAACCACGCGTTTGTAATCCTCGCAAAATCCCAGCAACATGTGCAGCGGTACGCAAAAATTAAAGTATCCATTCACAGTAGTCGGGCTATCCCAGCCTGCATTTCGCATAATCACGCTTCTATCGGATGACATTGTCACATAGTTTTTCAGCAGACTTGTTATTCCCACATTCCTGTTGCGATCAATCTCCACGCCATCGAGCTCGTAGCGAATTTCGTCAAACATGAATGCGACGCAATTATTTCCCAGCATCACATTGGATCCCTCAACTGGATGAGTTATCCGCAGTTCACCCTCAATGTAGAGGAAACTCTCATACGGCAACGTATATAAATCCTGATGACTGAATTGTTGAGTGACACA